AGGACTACCTGTACTTAATCTTTTGAAGACAATTTCAGTAGTTATTCATAAAATAATATAAATCTGTAGGCATGGGTGAAATCTACTTACCTTCCCTACCGGTTCGGAAGTGCGCGCTCCACTTGTTATTTATTAAATAGGAAGCCCCCCTGAGTGCAATGGTACTTACTCCCAAATAAGTATGTGGGATTATAGCATTAATTGTACTATGAAGTCATGTTGGGATTTGGCGTGTTTCAAATATGAGTTCCATACAAAACCATTTGTCCCCTGATATTGATACCATTTACTAACTGAGTGGATATGCCAGCCCTATTGTACTTCTGTTCCTTTTCTTTTTTCTGACAATGTTTGGAATATTTTTTATGTCTCACAGAACTATGGCATATTTAGGTTTTGTAAGAATTATAGTGCAATTTTACATTTGTCTATAATGTATGCAGTGATAAACCATTATTGTTTGCTGTTTTGGAGCTGTAATGTTCTTTCTATAACATGGTGATTTTAAATGTGTTCCTTAGTTTTAGAGTTAAAATTGTACAGAATTAGTTTCAAGATAATACTTATGTAAAATTAACATGGAACTTGTCCTTGAAAATGTAGATTTGCAAATATGTTGAAGCGAACACACATTTTATGACAAAGATTATGTAAAACAAACAGTGCTAGACATTTATTGTCATTACCTGAACAACTGTTCACTTAAAGATACTTATTTTAAACTTTGCCTTTTTGTTTTTCACTCAATAGGGAAGAGGAACTGTTCCCTTTGATAACGGAGAAGTGAAAAGCAGTTCCCTCAGTGTCTCATAAACTACTTAATCCAGGTACCAGCATTTTGGTAAGTATGTCATAATAAAACTCATTTTACATTTCACAACTGTAAGGCCACTCAAAGACATACAATAGAATAGGGATCCCCAAACTCTTCACCTTGTCAACCTCTTCTTGAAGTTTTAGATTGTCCATTGATTCCCAAAATTTATTATATGAAAATAATTTAATAAATTTTACTTTGACTAATAGTACTATGAATAGTAATAACAACAACACTGACCTTTTAGATAGTTCCTTTGATCTTTGGGAGTCAGTATTGTCCACTCTGCAGAATTCTGCTAATGAATGCTGGCAGTTCTGATTGTCTCAGTATAGCTTTATCAATCTACTCAGAGCCAACACTTCAGATCCTCCATTTTTTAATTGAGCCATAGAGTCAAGACCACAAGTCAGTATTTGTGTCACATCTAAAGCCTTGTCTGGAATCAAAATGATATGGCTAGGTTCTAATTTTTAATTATTTTAAGATAAGTATTTCACATGCATAGTTATTAATGCACTGTATATTTATATGAAATGAGGTTGAATCTGGTAAAGCAAGCAAATAAAGTTAGATTGTATAAAAGAAAGTGTGTGGGTATTCACTCACCAGTGCTGAGTCATATGTAAAACTATTTCTAGTGATCCAGAATTTAACAAAATGGTATCTCGATTTCGTATATACCCTGAAATTCAGACTAAATAATTAGAGGATGGTTCAGATCATGACATAATAAACTGTACGCTCTCTATATGTGTGAACAGTATCATCGTAAAAAATGCATAAGACCTCTGGGAGGGAGGTCTTTTCTCTAAAGAAATATGAAGGTAGCTAGATAAGAGAATTTGAAATATTGTATTCAGTATGTCCTTTCCTCAAGTGATATTTTAGATGTAGCCTATATTTTATTTTAAAGAAATAGAATTGGAAGGCCATGATAGTTTTGCTGTATCAACTGAGTGCAGGGAAATAGGGAAACATCCAATGGGGGAGGCTTAAGATTCTCTAGAAGCAAACTACAGTATGTGCAGTGAGACTCCTTCCACGTTTTTATTGCTAGCTAACTGCAGTCTTTCCAGTTATAGCTCCTTCCCTAGTTCCTTTTTTCTTCAGATCCTACATAGTAAGATATGATTATTAGCCAAGAGGCATTAACCATGAAAGGTTATCTTCGTATCTTGCCTGGTCATAGTAATACAACGTAACAATACATTATGCATTGTTTTTCAAAATTTATATCGGTTTGTGACAAGCACATAATTTCATAACTAAGATTTATGTGTTAAATTTGTGTCTTCTGGAGTCATGTGAGATGGGAAGTCATTAACTATTGCATAAGTATGGTTTGGAATGAATGATTGTGAAATTACTGTTAGTGGTATGAGCTGGATTATCACACCACCATTCTTGAAGTTAAAAAGAAGTGTTTTAAGTAAAATGATATTTTTCAGTCAGGAAATCATGAAGTATTTACTTATTTGATATAGAAAATCAGATGCCTTGGTTTAAGCGTTCAAAATGTGTTCAAAGCCCCAGTGTGAGATGTGTTTTTGGGGCAAATGCTTACATCATGTAAAAGATGGATATGGAGCAAGCAACATTATGCCCTGTAGGATTTTCAGCACTTTTGATTGTGAGCCCAGATAGATGTGCTGAGTCTTGCTGAAATTATTCTAAAAGATCATGCATTATTCAGTTCACTTGCGGTCAGAGCCAAGAGGTAAAGCCTTGAGCCGTTTTTCTAGAACATTGTTCTCCAGCCTGATAAAAATGGATTTGGAGCAGACGAGAAACGGAGGGGAGGGGAGGAAACGCGTTCAGTAACCGTTTTCATATCGGAAAGAGCACAATCACGGCACTTCCTTAACAATGCCCAGCCCTGTTCATCCCTTCTTGGAATCGGCGTCCTGATTTTTCGGGTACCTCTTCTTGAACTAGAGCTTCGTCTACATGCCCTCTGATGCTTCTAAGCATATCGTTTTTTCCAAGACAAAGCCCACCAAATGGTTTCGCCGGGAACTATGGGGGTGGTCATCTGTGTGCCATTGCAAAAGGCGCACGCTATTGAAACCGACCCAAAGAACAGCCGCATCTGAAATTCAATGAGAGCTGCCTTCCAGTTTCTGTCACTGGAGGCAATACGGCGCTGGGAAAAAAAGCGGCGTACAGCCTGTCCCAATTAACCGGGTACGCCATTTGCGCAATCTATCCCTCGAGTTGGTTTTCTACGCAGGAGAAAGGAGGTGCTAGTCTTTGTGAATCCGATGCTGCACTGCGGCGCTGCTTCCCGTCAACCAACCTCTCTTCCTCCCCCTCCTTTGCCCTGGACCCACCTCCTTTATTCGTTGTGATTGGCTACTCCCACAAAGTCTCAACCGGCGATTGGAAGCCGGCTTGTTGAGGAGGGTTTAGCTGCACGCTGTGTAATAAAGTTAGTGGGGCTGTCTCAGTACGCATTAGAAGCGGCGGAGAGTTGGTCCGATATCTATGGAGGTGCCGGAAAGAAGTGCCTAGTAGCTGCTGTGGTGATTCAGAGATCCGTCCTGCCGTTCGTTCTCTCCCCCTTCCCTCTCCCAGCCCCGATCCCCGGCTCCCTCTCCCCCTCCCTTCTCTCGCCTCTTCCCAGCCCTCGCCGCCGGTCCTGGGGACGCTGACGAGGCTGTAGGGAAGGTGAGGAAATGACCGTCGTTGGCAAAGATGATGATCGGGGGGTGGGAATCGACGGGGCTGCTACTGCTTGGGCTTGGGAGTATTTGAGGCGGGGGGCGAGCGAAGGCTGCTAAGGAAGAATCGGCTGCTGGTATGCAAAATGGCGGCTACCTAAAACCGCCGCCATCTTGTTCGTTTGCAATCTCGGTCTTGCACGTTTGCCGATAACAAAATGGCGGCCGGCACCGGTCTTCCCTAGCCGGTGTCTGAGGGGGAGAAAGAGGCGGCCGATTTTGAGTGAGGGTCGTGACTGTGGCACGATCAAGTCCGGTGTCGGGATAGTCCGCTGCCTTTTAGCCATCCACGCGGCTCGACGAATACAGCATATACTATTTTTCGCCCGTGGCTATTCCATAGGAAAGGTAGAAAGAACTGTATTTAAGTCTCTCGGTGGATTAGTTCTATCAATTTCGGTTCCCCCGCTGTCCCCTCGCTCCGGAAAAGTTGAAACTATGCCCCATCTCCGTTGCTGGGGCTGAATAGCCGGCAACTGCGGGTCGGGCTGTGAACCGAGAACAAAGGCCGGGCCTATTGCCGGGATTGCGCCTGAGCCTGGAGTCGGGCGGTGCCCAGCGCGGGTAGGAAAGGATCGAGGATGACTTGAGCAGGATGCTTGAGGCTGGCTACAGCTTGTTCCGAGGATCGGCGGGATTAAACGGAGGGGTTTTCTGGGTCTTTAGTTGGGCTTCGCCACGCCATCTCTCTCCCGCCTTGCAGGCGTATTTTTAAGGCTAGGTCGGTGGCGGGAATAATAAGAACCGTGGAGGTTAAAGATGTGGCGGGCCTCGGTGGGATTTGGACGCCTTTGTGTTTTGGTTTACTTCGAAGTCTTCTTAAAGTAAAAAAAAAAATCCTGCAATTTCAGTTGGGACACAAATAGGGATCCTTCCTGGAAAAATGTTTTTGTGTGTTGCTTCCGCTTTCTTCGATGTCAGGAATCCTGACTCTATATATATATAGAGTTATATATATATATATATATAACAGTCAGGATATATAAGATATATATATATAAGGGTACTTGACAGTTACTGGTATTGGATTGAATTTGTCAAATTACCTATGTTTATCAGGTTTATAAGCACATGTCATGTTGGGTAGTAATATTACAGGGTGGGTGTTTGTTAATATGGATAGTAAGACTGCTTTGATTTTGCTTATACACAGCATTTGTTGTGAAATAAAATTTAAAATGTATATAATGGGTAAGACTTTAATGGATATATATATGAATGTGGAATCAGCAGGAGGAAAGGTTGACTTGAGATGCAGATGAGGAAAAAACTTGGGCTCTGATGCCAAGTAAAATTCTCGGAAACTCCTGAATGGCAAACTCTGTAAGATTCTAGGAAATGATAATTATTTCGACTGAATACCAAAATCTTTGGGAAACTATTTTTGTTTAAATCTAGGGGGAGTGCTATTATTGAAACCTTAATCAAAAACTTACATTGTTAACTCTTTGCCTTCTAGGTTTTGTTTTTCCCTATCCTGTCAATTTATTATTCTTTGGAAGATTCTTCATTGCCAAGCCGCCAAAGTGGAGAGTGCGATTGCAGAAGGGGGTGCTTCTCGTTTCAGGTAAGTAAAGCTTTTTGACAATGAAACAGATGGGAACACAAAACATTTTTGCCTTAAGAAAAATTTCTTACTCCTTTTAAGTTTTTTGTTTTGTTTTTTGCAGTTAGTCACAACTAATGAAATTAAATACATGGCTTACCACGTGTATTCCATTAACACGGTTTCTAAGTTTTACAGACCATGTATTAAAAGGCAACAAATAAGTATTTTCTGTGTATTTGTTGGGTTTATAGAGAATAGGATAATACCTCATCTGGTTTTAGCTTCATATAAAAGATATTAGTTGATTCAGATCAGGTTACCAGAAACGGTAACCTGTGCAGAAGGAAAAAAAACTAATTATCCAAGGAAGTTTGTGTTCACAAATCAAGTTGTTTACAAAATAGTTATGGTTAAACTACAAAATTTTGGTTTCCTGCATACAAAACAAAAATTCTTTAGCAGTTATTCTTTATTTATAGTGCTTCTTCAGGCGGAGGAGGAGGTAGGGGTGCGCTTCAGCACTATCCCAAGACTGCCGGCAACAGGTATATTGCATGATAGTATACTGCAGTGCTATATTGGCTATTATATGGATTTGTGATGCATTGTTTAATTTGTAAAGTTAAATTCCATTGTAAAGTAAATGTAAATTGAAAGTCTGTATGAAACCAATGGGTGTTTTGTTCTGTTAACTACTTCGTGTCTTAGTATTTTAAGATTTTTGTCTGGTACTTGTTTACCTATAATGGGGCATGCATGAAAGCATGCAGAATATCCCAATAGAATGAAATCCAAAGCATTTTGAGTATTCCACAATAGGGAACATTTGGAATTCAAAACAATTTCCTTATTTCTGTCTTAGGCTGCAAGCATAAGTGGCTATTAATCCATTCTGAATCCTATTTACCATCTTAAACTCCAAGAATGCAGCAGTCATTGTCTAATGTAATTTCTGATGCAGACATACATGGTCTGAGAGTCAGCATCGTATCCAGTCAATCAGATGACACTGAATGTTGGGACAACTGCTGGTTGACTATAGAGTGAAGAAAGAGAATTCAGGCAGATGAAAAAAATTAGGCAGAAGTAGGTTAGTCTTGAGGAAGATCTGTTGTTCTAGCAAATCATTTGAGATAGATTATAGGATGTCACCTATCCTAAAGAAATAGGTGAAATTTTGGCTGGAGGGCATGTGACACACGTCAAGTCTGAACAGATCTGCATACTGGCCATCCGAATATCTGGCACTAAAACAGTATTGAATGTTACATTTTATACTTGAAGTAAGAGTCAGCAAGCGTCTTCCTTATGCTTTAAAGGCCTGTAATTTCTCCTCCCCCCTCCCAGTGTGCCAAGGAAAACCTAATGCTAGAATTAAGCTCTTAGCTGGTACTGCTAGAAATAATGTGTATGCTAAATATTTCAGTACACTACTTGGCTGTGCCTAGAGTCTTCCTTCTGAGCCCTCTCCATAATGAGAAAGTCTCTTTACCTTTGGAGGACTGACAGTTACCTTCTTTGTCTAGCATATAAATAGCATTAGTAGAAGGACTGGAGGTAGGGATGATGCCTCCTTTCAGTATGCTCTACCACCTTTTGAGTCAAATTTATCCTGACATTTATCTTTAGGCATAAAAAAGCAAATGGAACACTGCTTAGGGAATTGGGTGAGAGATTGCTTATACAGGCAATAGTATCTGAAATTCAGTTCTTAATGTGAATTAGTCAATAAATATCAATTCTGCAAGTCTACCTCTGTTTTCTACAAAGTAGAAATTCATAGATCTTTGAACGTGTAATTAACTATCTTCCCCAGCCTCTTTGACTTGATCCAACCAGTGAAAACAGAAATGGAATCTCTGGACCCAAATTTCCCATAATTTAGAGGAGAAATGCAAATTGTGGAATAATTGAATACTCAAGGACAATTTAACTATTCCATTTTGTTTCAAATTTAAAACGAGATGCCAGAACACCATAACACATGAAACGGTCATTCTGTAAATGGAATGCTCCAAGCTTTCAATATTTTAGTTGCTTCAATTCCTTCTTAATTATTTTTTATTTTGTTATGCTTGACATGGTATTTTATGTCTGCTGAGAATTTTTAGCTACAACTGCTCCTGTAAGAGAATTTTTCAAATGAGTTTCAAATGAGTTCAAAGCTCCAAAAATGAGTTCAAATGTGATTAAATAATGACTATCAAAAAATTCAGGTCATAGTACTAAAATTTCAGGCTTTCTTGGGTGTCTTGATTTGAAAACAAGTTTAAAATTGAGCCTATTGTTTCCAGATTATATGGGAATACACTCTAGGTTTTAATGAATTAATATTCTATTTCTAAAGCGAGTTCCTGGGGAAAACCCCAGGGCAAAACGCTCAGAAATGGATTCCTTCACGAAGCACTAGACGAGATGACGACTCCGCAAATGACAAAGAACGACATGATGCAATCTTCAGGAAAGTAAGAGGGTAAGTGTTGAGGTAACAATTTAATTGTCAATGGAACTTTATAATCCAAGATGTGATTCACAGCTAAGACACACAATGCATGCTTGTTTTCCCAGCCATTTATTTCCAATTGAGATTTTCCTAGTTGCAAAGCCACAATTTTCTAAAGGTGTTCTTGAGTTCTCTTTGAGCATAGAATCTAAGGAGCTTGCATGGTATAGAGACAAGGTGGGTTGGATATGAGGACACATGTTCAATTCATCTCTTAGCCTGGAAACATAGTGATGACTTTGGGTCTACCGCCCTATCTATCTAAAAACATTACGGAGATAAAATGAAAAGATGAATAAATTTGAGGGGGGTTGTAGATCCAGTCCATTAGACTATAACCAGCCCATATTGGGTTGCTTATGTGGTCTTAAGAATGTTTGAATGTTAAGAATGGCAGTTCTTAAATTGATGATTGCGGGCAGAAGCAAAAAAATTAAATTTATTAAGCTTCTGTGTTGTGTTCATTTGGTATATTGTTTTTATGTTGAGTTAGCACAGTCAAGGCCAGGAGGAAGAAATTACTGATTCACTAAATGTTGAATTATAGTTCTCAGAATTCATTACTGTTCTGATAGATGACACCAATGTCCATATTCAATAACATTTGCTTATGTGTTTCCTGACTGCTTTGAATCTAGGGGTCAAGGCTTTGAATTTTTACTCTGTCCTGCATTCTCTTGCTTTTCACTTTGTATTTCACACCCATTGTTTATTCAGAGTCCTGATTTTTATGGCATTACCTGTTTTATCTCACACTGTTTAGTCACCCTATCTCTGTTATATTATTCTCCACCCATTTTTCCCCTTTTTGTAGTACCTGTAATTCAGCTCTTAATGTCTTGGTTTTATTAGAAGGCTGCTCATACTAGGCATTTCCTACCTTGCTTTATTTATTTATTTCCTCCCTCCCTCTTGAGTTCTCCACTTCTCAACTCAGGATCCATTTTTTTTCCTTTAGTTTAACATTTTTATTTCAGTATCTTTATTTCTTAGCTTTCCTGTTTTTTGGGACCAACTTAGCCTGTACCTAGTGTGATGCTTTATTTATTGCCAAACCAGCAATTACAATCTGGGCTTTCAAAGTATCTGTTCTATAATCTAGATTGATTTTGAGTAACCAGTTATACAATTACCCATTTAGTATAAGACTTAATTTTTTAACAGATTAAAATTGAAAACTGCTTGCAGTTAATCCTAGATTAATACTAGCAAAAAGGTTTTATAAGTTAAACTGCAGTGAACAAGACTTGACTAAGAAAAGCCTTGATTTGTTTTCTTTCCTTTAGCATACTAAATAAGCTTACTCCTGAAAAGTTTGACAAGCTATGCCTTGAGCTCCTCAATGTGGGTGTAGAGTCTAAACTCATCCTAAAGGGGATCATACTGCTGGTAAGATAACATAGGTTTATTAGAAAAATGCTGTTTAATAAAATTTCTATTATGTACGGCAGGTATTGTTCAAGGTTCTTGTACAGCTTGCAGGTTGTTCAGTGTACTGTGAACATGGATATTATAGGAGTTATGTTATAAAATAGAGCAACTTAGAGAATGAATTATCTTCAATTGATTTACTATGTAATGGCACTGTTTCCTATGTATGCTTATAAGATTACATAAATCAGTTGAGCTTTTTCCTATCTTACTAGTAAAGGTAAAAATTTCTACGCGCAAGAGAATACTGTCTCATAGCAAATAATACGGCTCTGATGTGGCCTGAGGGAAAACACTGAGCTGGTGTGTTTCAGGTGTCATGATTGTTCACCTAATCATCCACCAGGTTCCAAGAGTAGAAATCAAACTTGGAAATGCAGCTTACTATCCACTATTGTGTCCGTTAAAATACATTAGATTTTGTTTCGTGGACATTGATACCTGGTAGATTATTGAATTATTGAATACCAATTGCCCCGTTACTTAATTGTTTAGGGGAAGAGCAAGGTAGGGAATCTTAATTACACTATAGTTTTTTGTACTGCATAGTTGTCATTGTGAATTTCTGAAACATCAATAAAAGTAGATAGGATTAGCTAGGATCATTTAAAAGTGCAGGTTTTAAATATTAAACAAACTTCCATATAATTTATGAAGTCTCTGCTCTCAGATCGTAGACAAAGCCCTTGAAGAGCCAAAGTATAGCTCGCTATATGCTCAACTATGTCTGCGACTGGCAGAAGATGCACCCAACTTTGATGGCCCATCCGCAGAGAGTCATCCAGGACAGAAGCAAAGCACAGTGAGTATAATTCTCTTTTGAACTAAAGCTATTATGAGAATTGGTATTTTAAAAAGACAAGACATTAAAATGTTTGCATTCTAAATCCTAGACATTCAGACGCCTCTTAATTTCTAAACTTCAAGATGAATTTGAAAACCGAACCAGAAATGTTGATAGTAAGTTTTCAGAATACTGTATTCCTTGATTTGCTTGTCATAAAAGTGGAACAATGTCTAAAACCTATCTCTATTTTTAGTCTATGATAAGCAAGATGGCCCCCTCCTCCCAGAGGAGGAGGAACAGAGAGCTATTGCTAAGATCAAGATGCTGGGAAACATCAAATTCATTGGAGAACTTGGCAAGCTTGATCTTATTCATGAATCTATCCTTCATAAGTGCATCAAAACAGTAAGTGTTTTTTTATCTTTACTATGTAAACCTCATTAGTTAGATAGCTAGTAATGTACTTTGGAAAAAAAATTAAGTGGTATCTGCTAGTGACTACATGGTGGGCAAACACTGTTAGCAATAAATTTCCTAAAATAAAAATTGTTCATCCTTTTTTACACATCGGCTAATACCTTAAGGAAAACCTATCAGATCTGCTTGAGAAATCTGGATAAGTTATAGAAAATTCTAGGTCATGTTATCACCAATGTAAAGCACTAACTAGAACTAAAGGGTGCTTATACCTTACTTGTATTTTGGTTGGATTTCTTATGAAAATGTTGCTAATCAAAAGTACCAATTGTGTTGATGTTCTTTTTGAGGAATCCTTAACATTTTCCAATAGTTTATAGATGGAATCTAATGTTGAATTTCCATAAAACACTAAGCTGAAAGGGAATTGTATAGCTTGTTTGGCCATAGCATCTTAAGTGAACTTGGATTAATGTTAATATCTTATTAGGATTAATAGCTTAATGTTATTGAATACCGATTTTATTGATAAATGTCTTGTAAAAATAAGTTGTAAAACGACAGTAATTTTTTTTAAAATTTATTCTTTCATTTCAAATTATCCAGCTTTTGGAAAAGAAGAAGAGAGTCCAACTCAAGGATATGGGGGAGGATTTGGAGTGCCTCTGTCAGATAATGAGGACAGTAGGACCTAGACTAGACCATGCAAAAGCCAAGGTAAGCATTAGTAGAATTGCATACATATATATATATCTGTATTTATGCTATTAGTATTCATTTTCCTGAGATAGGCTGTTGTAGATAAAATATTGTAGTTAACATAACGTTTAATTCGCAAATAAAAATAACTTGTACATATTAATAAGTTTGTTCTGTTTGATAACTTGTCAACTTGCCAAATTTAATGAATTTTTTTCTCAACAGTCCTTAATGGATCAGTACTTTGCCCGTATGCGCTCCTTGATGATGAGTAAGGAATTGCCGGCAAGGATTCGTTTCCTGCTGCAGGTAAGAGTATAAAATTACTTACTGTGACAAATCTAGCATATGCCTTGAAGCTAATATTGTTCTGTTTAATCCTTGAAGGATACTGTGGAGTTGAGAGAACACAATTGGATTCCTCGCAAAGCTTTTCTTGACAATGGACCAAAGACTATCAATCAAATCCGTCAAGATGCTGTGAAAGTAAGTATTTCACAAGATACAGATTTAGCTGTGCAATTCATTAATAGGTATTAAAGTGTATTAAGAAATGCTGCTTTTAATTTGATTTCCAACTGACTTTCTTTTTAAGGATCTGGGAGTTTTTATTCCTCCTCCTTTGTCTCAAGGAATGAGAAGTGACTTCTTTCTGGAGGGACCGTTTATGCCACCCAGGATGAAACTTGACAGGGATCCACTTGGAGGGCTTGCTGATATGTTTGGACAAATGCCTGGTAATTACTATTACTTCAGTGAAGAAATGACACGTGTGTTTTTTACTTTCTTTAAATACTTTGATAAAGATATCCTGAGTTATAATCGTCTTCTCTTTTGTATATTTTATGAATTTAGGTAGTGGAATTGGTACTGGTCCGGGAGTTATTCAAGACAGATTTTCACCTACCATGGGGCGACACCGGTCAAATCAACTTTTCAATGGCCATGGGGGACACCTCATGGCTCCTGTTCAATCCCACTTTGGAGAGCTAGGCAAATCCTTCTTGAAAAATCCAGTAAGTGACTTTGATAAGAAGAGAAATGCTGTTTTTTAAATGTAGGAAATGTGCACAGCCACCCATCATAGATTGCATAATTCTGAATGGCTTGCATCATCAACAATAACAATAATTTAAAACCACTGTTCCTTGTCCTGTGTTTTGGAACACCACTAAGAAAGTCTATCGTATTCTATTCACATAGACCAACTTTCAAAAACCTGAAGAAATGTCTCTTCATAGTCTTTTCCAGGTTAAAGGTACTTAGCACATCCAACTATTCCAAATAAGCCTTTTCTTCCAGCTCTTAACTTTCTCAATTATTCCCATTTTGTTTTATTCAAGTTTGTATTTTTGGAAGGATATTGACAGTGCCAAGAAAAGGTGCTGGAGTTTAGTTGTGATCTAATTAATACAGAGTAGAATGAAATAATTCTCTTGATCTTTAAACTGTGTTATCATTAATGCAAATTAAAATTGTGTTTTTCTTAAAACTGCATTATGCTATTAGCTCATAATCTTTTTGCAATTTACCAGATAATTCACATAAATGGTGCAGACACAGCTCATTCTTAAAATTCATCTTGTTCGTTTCTGTCCATTGTTCTCGTTTGTCACATCCTCTTGAATCCTGATACTGTCCTCTTAATTTGTCTTATTAGCCAAAAACTTAATCTTTTGTTGTTTTTAACCCATTTTATAAGTCAGTGTTGAACAACACAGAGCCTGTATGTTCAACTAAGCCTATATCCTTATAACAGTAATGCAGACAGCTTACATTTTGTCATCTTTATAAGGATCTTGTAAGAAACTTGAGTAAATGGTTTGGGAATTACGTTTACTATATCTCTGTAGTCAAGCAAACAATAGAGGAGATCCGATTGCTTTGCCATGCTTTGTTCTTTCATAAAGACATGCTACTCCTACCAAGCAATATATTCTTTTCTAAATGATTAACAGTCATTTCTGTTCTGGCGTTTGCCCAATATCAGCAATAAGCTTATAGGTCTGTAGTCACCTGGGTCGTCTTCCCACACTTGCCCTACTACTCATTTGGCACTACAACCATTCTTGATAGCCAAACTCTTTTAAGGCTCTTGGATATAATCAGTCTGTTCCCGGACATTCTAATTGTCCATTATGGCTTTCTTGCACTGACAATACTGAAAAAAAACCAAACGTTTATGTTACTTTTAACTTCCCTTGTGAACTTAACTTCAGGGTTAATAGCCTTCAACGGGGAAGGGTTTTTTTTTTTAAACTTACTTAACAGCCCAGTGCTTGATAGTCTTGCAATGTTTTCAACACTGTCTACTATTTATTCCCACCAGAATCACTAAAATGGACTATTCTTCAGTGAGCTTTAGGAGTCCTGAGACATTTTCTAATACATCCCAAATGTGAGCCTGTGTAAGGCAGCACCTTTCTCTTGATAAGACTGCTAGCTCATTGCTGATTGATGCTTTGGTCCCTCAATAGGAGGTCTCAAATAAGCATCTCCTTTTGCTGTTGTCTCAAGGCAGAGACAGGAATTGTCCTCTTTGCAGAACTTGTGTAGCCTTCTTTGGCCCCTGTGGCAGCTGCAGTTTATCCAGAAGTCCAGAAACAACATCAGCAGGGAATCTATTCCGAAGCTCCAAGGAAACAAAGCTCATTTTTACAAGTTTGGTTCTTTTGTGTCATTCTGTCATCTCCCCAATCTCCTCTGCCTGGCTTGATTTTTTCTTCTTGGGGCTTGCCACTTTTGTTCTTCCTCAAGCATTTTTTGTTGTCTAATACATTTTTTCACAACAGCTGATGGATGAACTAGTTTGTCTCTAGTACTCCTAGCTGCTTCTCTATCTGCTTCTCCAAAAAGGCATGTCTGCACCTGCTGCTTGTATAATACTTGCCATCTTCTGGAAGGTCAAAACAAAACAAAACATGGAACTCCCCCTATAAGTAACAAAAGTACTTCTCTTTGTCTCCATATTCTTCTGGTGTGTTTTTAAAATGTCCCCCCAGCGTCAGGAGCACCCAGGAATAAAGGAGTGGAATTGATAGAGGACTTTTTCTGCCTCTTTCCTCAGGCAACTTCACTTGCTACACTTCATTTTTAGAACATTTTCACCAGTTTCTAAAATTTAGAATAAAGAGAATATATTTTTCCGTTATTTATGTGAAATCCAAAGCATAATTAATAGCTCCCAGATATTGTATTTGATGTATCTTCTTTATGAACACTTCTATAATATAATTCAGCAGTTCCCAAACTTTTTCCTTAATGACCTAAAAATCACTTATCAGAAAGTTTTAATCTAACTTAAAATGACTGCTCTTAGGTCCCTTCCTTCAGTACTTCCGTCATAACTGAACGGTCACTGAAAGAATAGTCAACTTGAGGATTACCTGTATTACAAAAACAATATTAAATTATCTTTGTCATTTCAACAAATTATTATTGGTGATTTCATCAATTTTTGTCTTAATAGGATAAAGATTTTTAAATATATTCTAGTACATGTGGCAATCTTTAAGTCAATTTAAATGTCCCTGTTATGAGGGATAATGGGTTCATGAGAAAAGAAAAATCATTTTTACCCAATTTGAGTAATTGATTCAGGTTTGGGAAGCACTGATGTAATTGTTGGGATTGAGTCATAAACTGAGAATTAATGCTTTGCCTTTTGATTAGATCAACCCGAATCAGCTTGCTTATAAAACAACTCGTCTGTAACAGTCGAGATGTTTAAAATGGTAGCTTACAATTAGCGAGACCTAGGTTCAGTCTTAGCCAAGAAAGATCAGGGAACAACTTGGGGGCAGTTTTTTAAATCCAATCTACCTCACAGGATTGTTGTGAGGAAAAATTGGAAATTAGAACTGATGGAAAGGTAAGATAGTAATAATATTTTCATCATGGTAGAAAAAATTCTAACAAGATGTAAAAAGCAGTACACATAGAATATATGAAAAAATATTTTTATGGTAAGGAAAAGTTTACACTGTTATAGTCTTTATTTTTCTTTTCATTGTCTTGAAAACAGGGGCAAAGCCAACTATACCATAATCAAAATCAGGGACTTCTGTCTCAACAAGGACAGTCTAAGGATATGCCTCCACGGTTTTCTAAGAAGGGACAGCTTAATGCAGATGAGGTATGCCCTTGAAAAAGAATAGGCACAGTCTTTAAAAGATGCCCAATGATTATAACAAGACGCGTTATTACGAGGATCAACACTGGAACTCCCCTTCTACCTTCCTGCTGTTCACTTCCCCCCTCCCCATTATCTATCTTTACCTTCATTCCTCTTGCTTCCCTCCCCCCTTCTTGGAGTTTCACTCTTCTTCCTCTCTTCCCCCCTCCTTGGAGTTTCCAGTGTCCTATGAGCAAGATTATGAGATATGAGGGCAATGTCTTACTCGTAAACAAGAGCTGTTGAAGTAATTTCAGTTGCTGGATGGAGATATAAAAAGCCATTATAAACTTGTAACGAATTGTTTTCTCAAAAATATTGTTGCTACAACTTAGCAGTGCTTGTAAACAACATGCAACTCTGCTATGGGTAGTTTTCACCGCTACCATAATAGAACCATACTCCAGATTTTTAATATCCAGCTTCTTTTCACAGATTAGTCTGAGACCTGCTCAGTGTTTTGTAGTAAACAAAAACCAAGTGCCAAAGCTTCAGCCCCAGATAACTATGATTCCTCCCAGTGCACAGCCACAACGTACTCAGACACCACCTCTGGGACAGGTAAATGTTTCTCTAATGTTTTAATCAAAGATTTATTGATTATATTCATTATACAGGTTGCATTCTAAAAAGCATATGCATTTTTAAGGTATTAAAATAATTGGGAGGAAACAAGACTAGCCTAATTTCTATTGTGGTGATTGCATATGTGAGAATATTGTGTCCTATAAAGGCACTTTGGAGCATTGCAGCACATGTCTCCAGTAAGTCATTTTCTTCTATTTACGAGTTCAGAAGAACAAATGCTTAGCAATATCCTGGAATTCCACAATATTTGCTTGTTTGGGAGTAAATCCAGGTAAACAGTGAGATTTGATAAGTAATAGCGTCTTTTCAGAATATATATGCTTAAGGGTGATCATGAAAGTGAAAGCCTTTGCTAGGCTATTCCTAGGATATGATTATTGTGAATTTGCCACAGTGTCATGGAGCTCTACTAATTAAGGCTTAGTTAAAAGAATGTTTAAAAATGCAGTTTGAAACTAGTAAATATTTAACAGTAATATGTGTTACTGTTAATAAATACATCTCTAAACTTCTGGTGTTTTGTTTTTTTAAGCCACCTCAACTTGGTCTCAAAACAAATCCGCCACTTATTCAGGAGAAGCCTGCAAAGACAACTAAAAAGCCACCACCTTCTAAGGAAGAGCTGCTCAAGTTAACAGTAAGTTCATTTAGTCTGTTTTCAAACTATAGTATATGATAACTAAAGAATTAGAGAAAACAAAAAAAAACTTTCCTTCCTTTTTTAGGAAACTGTTGTGACTGAATATTTGAACAATGGAAATGCCAATGATGCTGTTAACAGTGTGAGAGAAATGAGGGCACCAAAACATTTTATTTCTGAGATGCTGAGCAAAATAATACTTCAGTCACTAGATCGATCAGATGAAGATAAAGAAAAAGCAAGTGCATTAATCAATTTACTTAAACAGGAAGGGATAGCTACTAGTGACAACTTCATGCAGGTAATGCATGTATTCATAAGTACACTTTCATGTCTTTGCATTGTTTGTTGTCATAACCAGACTTGAGAGAAAGTAATTAATGCTAGTAAACTTTTTTTCAGGCATTCCTAAATGTATTGGACCAGTGCCCTAAACTAGAGGTGGACATCCCTCTGGTAAAATCCTATCTAGCACAGTTTGCAGCTCGTGCCATAATTTCAGAACTCGTGAGCATCTCTGAACTAGCACAACCATTGGAAAGTGGCACCCATTTTCCCCTCTTCCTACTTTGCCTTCAGCAGTTAGCCAAGCTGCAGGATCGAGAATGGCTAACTGACCTTTTCCAACAGAGCAAAGTGAACATGCAAAAGATGCTGCCAGGTAAGGAATGAGTACACTGGTACAGGGAGGGAATTAGGAAGTAGATGGGTAACTATAATAAACATCTAGATAGAAAATATGGTTAAATGTGGAGTTTTTAAAATGTGAGCTAAAGTGTGAATATGTAGTATATTAAGTTAACATGCTTGAAGAATATTTGGGACAGTTTTGTATCTCTATGTTACAGAGATTGATCAGAATAAGGATCGTATGCTGGAGATATTGGAAGGGAAAGGACTTAGCTTCTTGTTTCCACTTCTGAAACTGGAAAAGGAGCTACTGAAGCAAATTAAGTTGGACCCATCCCCTCAAGCAATCTATAAATGGATTAAAGACAACATTTCACCAAAACTACATGTAGATAAGGGATTTGTTAATATTTTGATGACCAGGTGAGAAACGCAACTGAAACCAGTTTGTTGCATGTCACACATGAGCTAACGATACTATAATATAAACTGATTATAGCAATGGTGGGGTTATTTCCTAATTCTGTTATCTATTTATATATGCTGAGCAAAGAAAAATCTTTGCTTTTCTATTGCTTTACATGGATGAGTATGTTAAACAATTTCCTTCCAATTCTTTCAGTTTCTTGCAGTATATTTCTAGTGAAGTAAATCCACCTAATGATGAACCAGATTCTTCATCTGCTCCTTCTAAAGAACAGTTGGAGCAAGAAAAACAGCTGCTTCTTTCCTTTAAGCCAGTTATGCAGAAATTCCTTCATGACCATGTTGATCTACAAGTGAGTGCCCTTTATGCACTCCAAGTGCACTGCTACAACAACAATTTTCCAAAAGGTAAGAATAAAACCTTTTGCCTCTGTTTCATGTGCATTTGATATGACATCAGGATGAGAGGGATTTCAAGCAGATGTTCCTATAGTCATACTGTTTGAAAGGTGTTTGTATAAATTGGTGTCGGGTTTGCTTAACCACTTTTTGTGGAACTAAGCGAAATGACTAGTAAATTTTAGTGCCATTGATGCTAAAGAAATGACTTAAAATCGTGGTGCTTTAAAAGATCAGAGTTTTAAAAAAAGCAAAATCTATCTTACAGGCATGTTGCTGCGCTTCTTTGTGCATTTCTATGATATGGAAATCATTGAAGAAGAAGCTTTTCTGGCATGGAAAGAAGATATTACTCAAGAGTTTCCAGGGAAAGGCAAAGCTTTGTTCCAGGTGAATTTATCTTACTATATTGTTAACCATAGGTTTAAGCAAAACAGTTACCTCATTGTACTTAATTCATTAGAGAAAACATAGAATATACTGTAAAAAATCAGACTTCTATAAAGTTTAAAATTCGAGCCATGAGAATATGTCTCATGTTTTCAATAATTTTAATAAATTATTATGTAGCTGTTTCTTATGTAATTAATCTCCAGATAAATTTGAATTTCATTTCTTCCTTTTCCTCATTCTAATAATAGTATTCGGGTTTAATTGCAGGTAAACCAGTGGTTGACCTGGCTGGAAACAGCAGAGGAAGAAGAATCTGAAGAAGATGCTGATTAAACCAGCCAAAGCCTTAAATTGTGCAAACATACTGTTGCTATGATGTAACTGCATTTGACCTAACCACTGCGAAAACTCATTCCGCTGTAATGTTTTCACAATATTTAAAGCAGTAGTGGGTCAGTAGGACTTGTTTCTGCATAAGGGTTTTTGTAGTATGTCTTAATCATAGTCTACCATAAAAATATTTTAGAATATCTTTAATGTTTAGATAACAGTGTATTAGCAGCATGCAATAATTACATCATAAGTTCAGAAGCAGTCTGTGTAAGGATCTTCTTTGATGCCAGTTACCATAGGCTGTTCGTTAGAAATCTGAATAGCAACACTGAATACTGTAGAAATGCACTTTGCTCAGTGTAATACTTGAGTTGTTGCAATATTTGATTATCCATTTGGTTGTTACAGAGAATCCTTAACTGTAATTGATGGTGGTTGCCGTAATAGTATATTGCCTGTATTTCTACCTCTAGTAATGGGCTTTATGTGCTAGATTTTAATATCCTTGAGCCTGGGCAAGTGCACAAGTCTTTTAAAAAGAAACATGGTTTACTTGCACAAAAATGATCAGTTTGAAGAGGTGGATAGATGCCCTTGGAAGTGGTCTTTGTGGGTATGAAATAAAATGGTGAGAAACTGAATTGGTCCCTATGATAGTATTGGAATTAAGTCTACTTAATTTATCAAGACATGTTCATGCCCTGATTTTATATACTTGTATCTATCAATAAACATTGTGATACTTGAATGTTTGTTGAAATGGCTGCTCTTTATATTTTCTTTGAAAATAGATTCTGAAGCAGGAATTACGTGTCTTTCCCTCAATCCCATTTAATTAGGTATATCTTGTATGGTAAAGTTTCTGGAGAGGGCAGGGCAGCCCTGTTTCATTATTTCCCAATTGTGAAGCATGAAATCACCTGTCATTGATTCATATGTCAGAATCATGATACTGTTTGAGATTCATGTAATAGTAACACTTGTGGAAGTGCTTGATATTTTTTTAGTTCTTTATGACATCATCTAAACCAGGGTAAGACAACTGAAAGAGCCAAGTGTTGAAAAGGGTAAATTGGTAAGATTAGTTGTTTCCTATTGTCCTAAAAATGTAGTTTTTAAATATTCCCAGAAATTCTGGGAGTTCCAAGTTCAATATATTTGGAAAAAAGGCTGCACAATTCGGCATTACAATTCTGCAATCATGATTTTATGAATTGTAAGCCTCAGACAGCCATATTAACATTGCATTCTTTCCAAAATTTATAAACACTAGCTTGAAATCCTAAATAGCTTGCTATTTTCAGATCCAAATAGTTAAAATTCAAGACCATATTGTTTTGTTTACATTTATGTTGCCTTAAAAGAAAAGTGTTGTGTTCCCTTCATATATGTTTCAACATTTGAAAGATTACTCTGCTGAGAAAAATTACAAAAAGAAAGGAAAACTAAAATGATGTATGTATTGAAAGTACTTTCCTACTCTAATGGACAGGGAGTTGGGGGGGACGGGACATAATTTTCCTAAAATTTAGGAAACTTGCCTCATAGTTCCAGTATTTTACATCACTGGAATCAACAAGTTAGTGCCAAAATGGAGCAGGACTACATAGATTATTATGTACTTAACATTGTCTTAAGTAATAGCCTTGATTGATCTAAATGTGTTCTTAGCTATTGTTTCTATTGTTTTGACTTTCTATGGACAAACATTGTATAATCCCAGTATATTTTTCTGAATATAATTACTTCCCTATATTGCCTGTCATAAGCCTCTTTGCCAACTATTGAATGCTTGATTAAATATATCCGCCCTCAAAAAAAGAAACAGGACAGCATTTTCCAGAGTCCAAAACACCCACAATATTCCAAATGGCTTTATTAAAGCAGTATTTTCAATTGCCCATTTATGTCCAACAGATAGTCTTGCACTTGCAGTATATAAATTCCAGGCTCATAGGTATCAAGATGGAAGAGTTTATGGCATTTTTAGCCTTTACTGACCTTGGATTCAGTGTTGCTATCATCAAAATACTCTGGAGAAAATAATTACATCTATAACCTAAAGTTGGGTGGCAGTTAAAACTCATCTTTAAATTTTGTTACTAATGAAGAGGAATTGGTGTAGTGTATGCTGCTTTTCCCCTTATTTTTGCAGGCACTATTAAGTTACTATCTTAAATGTTCTGTAGTTGGTTATTATGGCTTAGTAGCCATGGCTCATTCAGCAACCCTAAAAAATGGTTTGGATTTACCTGATACACAAAATCCAAACTAAATAATGGATTAACACAATCTACTGTACTTTGTAGTTAATCCTTGTTCTTCTTCCAAACCTCTACCAGCTCCATTTTACAGAATATGTTCTAATATATGTAGAAACCTTACAAAAGCAGAATAACCTGTATATTACTTGGATAATATAAGGCATTTAGTTATAATTTTTTTACATGAAAGATAGTGTGTTTTTGTCATGTTTTTGCCATCTTTGTGGTTCATATTCTTGTAATTATTGGCTATGAAATAAACAGTTGTATCAGTGATACAAGTAATTCAGTCAGATCTCAGAGACCTGACAGTTTTTTTGAACTGTAGGCTTGAGAATAAGAATTTTACTCATGTGGATATTGAATAAACTAGAATAGGGGTGTGTACAAACTGGAAGAGGGTTTGAGTCCATGCACAAAACCTGCATGCTAGAGTTTTGGGCAGGATTATTTAGTGAAGATTATGATCCGACAATTTGGTTCTGGCTTTCATCTGAGAAAAAAACAGAGGAATCTTCCGTGGAAATAGGGCAAGGCTAATGCACCTCGCCTTCCATCTGGCCTATGTGTCAACCAAGACTACCTCATCTCCCTGATTCCATTACTGAATTAAAGCAGCATATATGACTGGGCCATCTATCCATCACTGATTCCATCACCTTTATAACAGTGATTGCTGTCACTGTCCAACCAGCCTACTTGCTTTCTCACCCTCTGACTAGCATGTTCCCACACACTCATTTTTGTTTTCCTTGCTGCCCCCATCCTGAGTACCTTTAGCCAGAACACATTCTAGGTGCATTTCCAGGGCCAGCAAGTTTTGATCCAGGAAGAAGACACCTGATATTGCCTCATCTATGCATCATTTGATGTGCAGAATGTAAATTTATGTACAAGTTTAGTATGGCCAATTTGCAATCTGGCAATTTAGAAGTAGGAGTAATACTTTTGAAAGTAAATCTAAACCTGATTATGTCCGTGACTTCCTTAATTATAATTAAGATGTTTCACTGAAAATGGTAATCACTACTTGACTCAGGTCAGATCTGGCAGTACTAATTGCTAATCCAGTTGTTTGTTTGTTTGTTTTTTGCTTTAATTTATATGCTGCCCTTCTCCGGAGACTCAGGGCGGCTTACAATGCATTAAGCAATAGCCTTCATACTTTTGTATATTTATACAAAATCAGCTTATTGCCCCCACAATCTGGGTCCTCATTTCACCTATCTTTGAAAGGATGGAAGGCTGAGTCAACCTTGAGCCTGGTGAGATTTGAACTTGCAGTAATTGCAAGCAGCAGTTGTTAATAACAGTGCTTAGTCCACTGTACTACAGGCTCAGTTTTTATTATAGATTGGACTTGGCCACTTTTTTAGCCCATTGAAATTAGCTAAGTAAGGGATATCTCGAAGCACATCTGAGATTCACAAAATGTGTGATTTGTTGAAGAGCAAAATGATGGGATGCTATTACCAAGTATCGCAAGAAGGAATATAAATGGAAAGAAAAAACAATCTAAAAAAGATAAGCAGAGTAACTTGCAATCTGTAAAAGGATAATAGGATTGTGTATTTAGAAGAAATGTACTACACAATAAAGTTTCTAGTAACATGAGACAGAATAATATTCCCTGTTTGAAATAATATTAGGACAGACTTTATGTAATTTCTCTCCAGTATTTTGAATAACAATTCCTATCCATCTTTCATGTACCTTATAATGGTTTAAAGCATACTAATGTGCAACATAAAATTAAAATGTGAAAACACGCCCAACTCAGTAAAGGCACAGGATTGTGAGATTTTTACTGTATTGTATGATTTACAGTGTCAAGTATTATTAAATTAGCAAACCATCAAGTCATTTCAAAAGTCTAAGACTTTTGCCAAGTTGGAGTGCTATCCAGAAATAGCTAGGACATAGCCCCGGAGAACATGGCTTTAGAGCAGACTTTTGGAATTACACCATTCTTATTGACATCTAGTGCTGTCAAGGCAGGCAGAAAAACGGTATGCAAAATGGTTTATACATACCTAGAGTGATACAAGTAAATGTGTATTGCACAAAGTAACAAGTGTAGTTGCATGATTCAAATTCTAGAAGGGCTGACCAGTCAAGGTGATAACTGTAATGTTATGCACAAGTTCTTGGAAGTAATAAAAGGACTATGGGTACATTACAGCAGCACCTGCATTTTCTGTGTCGCGTGAGAAAAGTACATCTTCCTTCCTCTGTCCTTACCACTTTTTATAGAGTATCAAGAGTATCCTGTCATATTGCATTACTCCCTGATTTGGAAGCATTACTGCTTCAAACAGGAAGGCAGTGCAGAGATGAGGATGGCAGAAAAGATTATTCTTTCTATCCAAGACGTAGCATATACCGTATTTTTTGGAGTATAAGATGCTCTGGACTATAAGACGCACTTACCTTTTTTGGAGAGGAAAACAAGAAAAAAAAATCTGCCTCTGCCTCCCAGCAATTTGCCTCCTTGCAGCAAACAGCCCATTTCAATTTCAGCTTCAGCACAGCCTGATTAGCACAAGCAGCTGATTGTCGGTTGGATCGGCCTCCCGAAGATCAGCTGTTTCAGGCTGCAGGGATTGCCATAGCCTCTTGCCGCCTCCACACACCCCATTTTCCTGGGGGCCAGCAAGTGGGCAGGGCTAAATTCAGTGTATAAGACACACCCAAATTTCCACCCTCTTTTATGGGGGGGGAAAGTATGTCTTATACTCAGAAAAATACGGTAAGCAATGCTTGAGCAGGGTCTGCAGAATTTTCTGGGATGCTACACATCCTCTTCATGACCTATTTGCCTTGTTACCTTCTGGGAGGAGACTTTGTGGTGTCCAAAGCAGAACATCTAAATTCAGCCACACTTTTGTTCCATATAAGTATCAACCCTGTGAACTCTCATGTTTCCTCTTTCCGCTATGTATTCAAAATGGACAGTGATTAATGTATGTTTATATATGTATGGGTGTAAGTATATATACATATATATGTGTACAGCATATGCATATGTGTGTTATGTATGGGTATGGGTAGATATATACTTTCCTTTTTGTGCCAGTTTGCTCACAGTAAAAAATGACAATAAAGGTAATCTTAGTCTTAATCTTGAGTTCCATTGTCTAGGGAGCTACACTTGATGGGTCTTAAGCTGTGGGCCTTTTCTGCTGTGGCACCCACAGAGATGAGGTCAGTCTCATTACTCCCAAGCTCTCAAAAGTGCCTTAAAACCTGCCTATGCCAGCAGGCCTGAGAATCCAGGAGGAGACAGATACATCATGCAGTGACTCCACTATTATTATTATCCCACTATCTCTTTTCTTTTCCTGTTTTGCTTTGACAGTTTTAATGCTTTTTCAGTGATTATTATATAATGGTTTGTATATGATGTTTCGTTGGATTGCTGTATGCCACCCAGAGTCACCTTCCATGAGATGGACGGTCATATAAATGTGATTAGTAAATAAAT